TCTTGATGATTTTTCATTGGAATCATTGATCTTATTCATTAATTTGATCCATAAAAATGGTTTCTTGCTCTCTTACAGGCTATGTCAGCTTATGGATATGAAATTGTTCAGACACTTATCGTTGATATAGTACCAGATGAGCATGTGAAGAGAGCTATGAATGAAATCAATGCTGGTATAAACAATTTTTTTTACTCTGATTAAGCCTTGCCTTACATTCTTACTGTTTTAATAGAAAGGGAATATACAATCCAGTTGAAGGATTTTCCATTATAATGATCTTTTTGTGGATAAAGATATTTAAACGTGGATGCAAAACGTTGCAGTTTTAGGAATTGTAATTACATCGGTTTCTTCCAGGCACCTTGTAGACCAGTCTGCTTTTTTTTTTTCTACTTAATATTTTGGTCTGTAGAGTAGACAGGCACTCAAAGGCTTGAGGGTGGAAATATGAGAATTTTTGGTTGCCAAATTGAAAATGTTGATACTCTTGTTGGGTCTTCCTTAGTATTTTCATGTCCTAACTATCTTCAACTCTACAGCTGCTCGGCTGAGGGTGGCTGCTAATGAAAAGGCAGAGGCCGAGAAGATTTTGCAAATTAAGAGGGCTGAAGGAGAGGCCGAGGCTAAGTATCTCTCAGGATTAGGTATTGCACGACAACGTCAAGCAATTGTGGATGGTCTGAGAGACAGTGTGCTAGGATTTTCAGTCAATGTGCCTGGAACTACGGCAAAGGATGTTATGGACATGGTCCTCGTCACCCAGTACTTCGACACCATGAAAGAAATTGGCGCTTCCAGCAAATCATCTGCTGTCTTCATCCCCCATGGGCCTGGTGCTGTAAAAGATGTGGCACAGCAAATTCGTGATGGACTTCTTCAGGCTTCTGTTGGGCATTAAATCTTTATTGCTCATGAATGTTAAGGATTTCATATCAAAGCAAGTTTTAGTCTTTCTTCCTTCAGAATCTGAAATATGTGGTGAATTAACTTTGTTAGAGATTTGTGAATTCCGATACTACCTATGTTTATAATTGGTTTGCTATGGTTTTGAATATTTACAGAAGAATTGTGTAAAGAATTTTCAAGTTCAATAAGATTGTTCTACAGCATTGCGTATTTTTGCTACTACCATGTCCCGATATATTTGGAAGTAACTCATTTTTTATCTGCTATGCTGGCACAATTTATGTTTCGCAAGGTTGTTTTGTAAAGCTTCCATATCACGGTACTTGAAGGCTTATCTCTAAGAACCTCACATAAGTAGGTATTTTGCTTATCCCGCATTTTGATTGAAATATACAGGTGTGAATTGTGATGTCTAAAGTTGCGATATTGTGGAGGTCTTAAAATGGATGAATGCTCGACAACAGACTGATGATTATGATGACTTTTTCTTAAATAAACTCAGCATAGTTAATTTGTCTGCTAAGCTTGTTTAATGTAGGTGGACAATCTACTAAATATTTGACTGACTGTGAAACCAATTATTATTGTAACATTAACTTTGAGGTCATTGTTGGAACTCATAAATAAACATTAAATTCTGGATCCGCCATTGGACTTCAAAGTAATTCTAGGATATGGACTTAGCTTGCATAAATAGTCATAGGAGATACTCGAGAATAATACGACTCTAAGAGAGACTACCATTGTTGTTGCAACTCAGGGCTTAAAAGCTAGAGTAAGCCCCAGTTTAGCAGTATTCGCTGCATCCATGGCATTCAACTCTGCTCCAATACTCAGAGAGAGTGCTGAGAAAATATTGTTCTGGACAAGAGCACCCAAACTGCCATCACTTGTAACTCGAGCTTTAATCAGCATGAAAGGAAACAGGCAATGCTGAGCCCCCAGTGCAAGAGTCGTCTGATTGCTGACGAATCTATGTGTTAACTCAGCTGCAACCCCAGTGCTTGTTAAGGGTAGAATTGGCCGGTAACAGTGAGCTCTCAAAGTATCAGCATTATCGCTCCTGCAAATTTTACTTGCATCAGAACATTGAGCGTGAGAAAAATGTGGCATTCAAAGAAGAAATATCGAATCACACTAGAGAAGATTTACAGAGTGAGTGAAGCAGAGAGAATGTCAGTATCGAAGCTCAAACCACCACCGCATTCCGCCAGTGTTTTCGTTGCTGTATCGAAAGAGATTTCAGTTCCAATACTGAAAAATCCAATTCCTGTGACACCAGATAGACTTAACAGTGGGCTTTTTTCCAAACTAATGCCTGTTGCCACTCCAAAATAATTATTCATGTACTGCACTTCCACCTGTTAGTCATTACATGTATAGGCATAAGAAAGGAAAAATAGACTTGTCATCTAGAAAGAAGAGAAAATTCTAACCTTATTAGACCTCTGATCTGGTACACTCAACTTCACTAGTGTACTTAATCCAGGTACAATGTCATTAACTACAATGATCATACAGTAATTTTCAGAAAGCAGACTACAAGGAGGAAAAAGAAGGGAAAAAATAACAACAAATACCTTGACATTTGAAGTATAAGCCACAATCAAGCAAACTGGCGCGATTGTGAATTGGTGATTGTCTGATATAATCTCCATACAGAAGATCTAATGTAAACAAGTAACATATAAACATTCGAATTAAGAGATTCTCCAGCATTGAAGCGCGACAGAAATCATAAGTAGAAGGACATCTTTTAAAATTTTCATTAGCAAATATTTTGAATTTGTATGTGCATGACATGAAGAATTAGCAGCTGAAATAAATGACAGCAAGTACCTGTAGCATTTTTGCCAATATCAGAATATATTCCTGGCTGCTTGTTCATCTTTTTTTTTTTTAATCCCCAAGATTGAGGTCCTGATCTGTTAGTTTATCCTTCCTTTTTAAAATGATGCTTGAAGTTGATATCTGCAAGCAAGGTAATTACAGGACAAATATGAAGCTTCCTTATGAATCGAGATTTCACGTCTTAGGAAGCTTCCCTTCAGAATATAGTACAAGAGAGATTAACAGATCCATTAACAGATCCATTAATAGGTACCTACAATCACTTGTTTGGTAATGTTGCATTGTTATACAGAAGAACATTTTTCCCTTTTTGCAAACTGATGTATTGCTAGATGACTCAACTTTCTACGGTTAATCACTCATGCATAATATACTTAATTATCATTCGAAATGCAGACTTAGGATAATTTGTTCTTCAAACAAGCCAAACGAGAGCTGCAAGTTACAAAGTTCTGGAAACAACTGGAGACTCGATGGAAACTACACCCGCGGAAACTTCAATCGTGTTTGAAATATCAGTGCCAAACTGTCATGCACTTAAACAATGAAAGAACAAAAATGTGAATGTAATTCAACTGATTTACAATACTTATTTTCCTATCATTTGTTCATTCATTGTCTGATCCTCTTTACAATCTTGTTATCTGAAAAATGCGCTCTGCTTTAGGCAGGGTTCTATAGACACTATGTGTAATTTACATACAAAAAACAGAGAAGCATCACTTTGCTTTTTTCTTTTTCTTTGTCAAGTGGCTCGATAAGGGATCGAATGGAAGGCGAGCCGCATTTGCATTAGCTGCAATCTTCCCAGCTTCATTAAACAACTCTAGAATAACCTCTCTCTGGTCTTCCAAATCCTGCATTTTAGCATCAATTTTCTCCACTATAAGTTTGAGTTTTTCTAAGTCCTTTTCATCATTGGGATTCTTCTCCTTTTTATCCTTCTTCTTGTTATCTTTTTCATCCTTGTCTTTGTCTTTCTTTTTCTTCTTCTTATCTTTATCTTCCTTCTCATCTTTATCATCTTCATCCGAATGCTTATCTTCTTTCTCCTTCTTATCATAAATTTCCTCATTTTTAGTTTTCGTTGAATCGTCATGTTTTCCTGTATCATCCGACTCTGGCATTTGTTACCTTTGCTAGTTTAATTTACCACTCGAGTGCTATTTGATGATGAATTATCAGAGCTGAAATAGTTTCAACAATGGTCAATTTGTGTTGAAAATAAATAGGGCAACAAGATTTGAGAAGCTCCATCCATGGCCCTATAATTTCTCTGGCATGGATACAAAAGAAGTAACATAATTGAATGGTGTATGCATTTTCAGGATTGGCTCATCATATAACCAACAAATCATGCTACATTTAATCCGAACGCCCTGTAGGCTTAATGTAGGCTATAATTCTGAATCATGTGATAAATTGATAGATACCCTCGGTCAGGGGCACATTTTCATTTTCATTTTTAATCAGTCTAAAATAGAATGTCATCTTTGAATAATTAAAAAAATTAACTTTAAAATTATTCTTTTATCCCTAATAAGAAAGATGATTTATAGCTACACAACTATATAAAGTTTGTTTTAGACCACCAATTTTAAAAGTTTTTTCTTTTTTCTTGAATTTTGTGTCAAGTCAAATGATGTCACATAAATTGAAACAAAAGAGAGAATAGTAATAAACATATCTCAGACTAATACTACTAAAGTAGAAATCAAATTTAAAGTTAATTGTTGATTGGATAAAAGATTAATTAAGACAAAAGGATTTCTATAGGGTAGATAGGAAAATCTTTTTGGTTTCAACTCTCGAAGTATACCACAAAACTCTGTTTTTTTTTTCTTTTTCACCCAAACACTTGTAGAAATTTAAAAAAATCAATTTTACAAGTCTTTGTAACTAAAAAGTATTTCTCATTCTTTCACCTATTCTTCAAACAAATGCCACCTAAAATGACTTATTTATACGTATCAAGTAGCCTTGACTACTGTGTATAATGGCACCTAATGATCATGACATAAAAGCAACAATAACATACTCAAGCATAATGAAGTTTGAAGAGTATAGAGCTTACATAGATCTTATCTCTACCTCGATAACAAAATAGTAATGACATATAACTATATGAAAGCAAATGTTGTGTCTATAATATATATCTGTATATCTCATTTGTATCAATTAAAAGTTGAGTCAGAAAACGCTTGTCAAAGTTGGAACAGAATTGAGTCTTAAATGTTGCAAATGCAGTAAAAGAAAGATATCATTATCTTCCATTTTTATATTCGTGGAATAGAAACCAATGTCAATACTTTTCACGACAAAATTACATCAAAAAATAATCTTGTCCTATCAAAAATCTCACCCCCTTCAATCTAGCCCCCATGGCTCCTCTCCTTTTTTTTTTACTTTTCCAACAGTTAAAGTCAATCATCCCAACTTGCCCCCTTCACCCTACACTTTTCACTTCTTCCCATGTTTGTAATGAAACCCCCCACCATTGTGGAAAAAAAGGGAGTTTTTCACACACAAGCTCTCTTTTCTTCACAATTTTTCAAAAGAATTGTTGACTAATTTTTATTTAATCAGCAGAGTGTAGTGACTGTGTCTACTACATCAAACGGTCAGATAAACTTGGAAGTCTTCTAAAGAAATTCAAAGTGGCAGGTGGCATTGGGTCCCTGAACATGGGATGGCGCAGGAAGTAGAATCCAAGGGCAACTGCTACCATTTTTGGTGGCACTGCATATAACACTATTGTTATAATTAGGCACACGATTATGAACAATTTCGTCGCTCTTGGATCCCTCCAGCTTACCAATGCTTGGACCCTTTCTCCCTGGGTTGCAAAATCACCTAAAACTGTTTGGACCCTTGCTGCTAATATTCTCAACCTGTCATACCGCATCCGAATTATTTCGGGTGGTTTTGAACTTGGTATTGTGTCGAATTCCTCGTCCAGTTCGTCCGGGTCTACTGTTTCTGATTGGGAGATACGGGTATCCATACCTGCAGGTATTTTAGGCCTGAACCGATAATACCATACACCGATCAAGAAGACGTAGAGAAACCCGGTGGGGACGATTAAATCTGGATACCAAACTAGCACCAAGTAGAGAACATGGACTAGTATGGTTGTTACTGGGTTTCTCCACCTTCTAATGTCATCCAACCATTTTGCTAATCCAACAGCCCAAGCTAACACGGCTACTATGCGAAACCAATTGGCCTTACTCTTCCTCATGCTCCATGTGTGAGAATCTGCATCCAACATATACCGAACTACCTCTGGACCCAACGGTGGCTCGGATCGAGCTAACCATGCTGCAACCATTTTGATAGCTGCTCCTCTCAATGCCTCTTGTTGAGCCACCCCAAGTGGGCGTAGATAATGCATCTTTGGTAATACTGGCTGCCCATAAACAGCACATGTTTCTGGTAACAGTGATGGACAAACAAATCGGATTGCAACTTCAATTTCGCCCATTTTCTTCAACCCAGACCGCAACAGAACTAATAACGGATAGGAATTTGTGTACACTTTGTTATTCTCCAATGTAGAGACTCGTATACGTACTTTTCCTATACGGTAATCAGGCTTATCTTCACCACTATCAGCAAACATACGCCAATTGTCGAATACTCCAATTGTAAGAACTGTACAAGGATCGTATACTTGCCATGTGTACTGCTCGTTCCAACGCGGGTCAAAGGTATCGGTTATGGTCCGAGTCCGGACCCATTTCTTCCCGTATTTGGCAACACAGTAAGCATCCGTGGATCCTTTTCCCGGACCCTTGGATTTCAAGGGTAACAACCCGCGAGCTCCAAGAATACCCAGCTCCAAAATACCAACAGCCGGCTTCCATAGCTGCTTAGCCGTGGGCCTGAAATCACTACACACGTGAGCTGCTTCATCCAGCACGTGATATCCTCCTTCTAAGCACATCCTCAAGTGTAGCCTCCCGCAGTAGGCCCCACCTGGTCCACCTTCCAATCCGAACCACTTGGCTGGCACGAGTCGCTCATCGAGCCGTTGCTCAATCGAGCTCACAGGAATTATTATGTGCCCTAGAAGGGCTGGATCCTTCGTCGTACGGTCCTCTACAAGCAAGATGAGGCTATCTTCAAGTGGCTCACCGGCGACGAAGATTAAATCTTCGCTCCAGTGGAACACTGAACTGTGATGATTCATTGTCCCTCTCCGAGTTCTCACGGATTGAAACCCTAGCTGAGCTTTGACTCTTACCTCCGGTGCCGTCAACGGCGGTAGATTTGGAGCTATATGAAGGTCCTGAGCTTCAATCACTGTGATTCTAAGATACCATAGCTTGGGAGATTGATAGACTTTTGAGCGAGTATGAGCCACGCACGGTGCGTCTGAGCTGCACGATTCAGGAAATGCATCGTCTGCTTGAGTTCCAATCCAGACGGAGAGTTGAATGTCGCCGGAAACTTTGTGTTGGTCATCGGCGCCACCTTCGAGATGATACCACTGAGGAGCAAGAGGACTATCCGGTGGATCTCTGACTGGCACATCGGAGAGGTCGAAACAGACTCCACCAAGGAAATGATCCGACGCGCTATCCCAAACTGAAATTTCAAGTGTTGAATTGGTAGACTCTTGCTTGTTGTGGCCTAGGGAGAAGACCTGCTGCCACTCTGGATTCGACAACAGTTCGCCAGGCCGGATAATGGCGGGTTTCGATCGGAGAAAATGGTTAGATGTACGGATCTTCACGAATGGGCTTTCACTCGGAGCAAGACCTCTAGCTTTCACAATTTTAACAAATAGATAGTGCATTGGTTCAACGAGGTCGAACGCCGAAATTCTTTCTGACTCTCCGCCGACTTTTCCGGATATCACCCTAGGTGAATAGTCTCCGTTTGGCCGTCTCATAACTCTCACTCTTTCTCCAGCTCTCCCTGCCTGCATCCTCTTCACCTCCTGTGGTGGGTACTCAGGTGGTGGAACAGGAACACTCATCATCGGTGGACCACTCATCATTGGTGGACCCTCCTCATGCCGGTGACTACACTGCTGCTGCTGTTCCGGCGGCATATTCATCGGTGGAGGAGATTCCTCTATCGTTACGATGGGTGGAGATTGTTCCTGCGCTTCCATAGCAACCTCCGTGGGCATAGGAATTTCTAGCATCCTCTGGCGGGGGTCTTCCATGACAACGAAAACAGGGGTCTTCTTCATTTCTTCCTGCGGAGGAGGCTGCTGCTGCTGTTGCTCCGGCTGCGGCGGTGGCGGCTCCTCTTCCTGCACCATTTCATCATAGTAATAAATCTTCAAACCCAGCTCACCTCTAATCCAACTAAAAACACTCTTTTTCTCCAAAGGGAAGTATATCAAACCCTCTTCTCCTCTCCTCGCAAACTGGCTTCCATACAACTTCACTCTCCCTAAAAAATGATTCTTCCTCGCATTCCCATTACTCAGCTTCTTATCATTGAAAACCTCAATATCTAGCTCCTCAAACTCCATCGTTCTGGGATCCGAAATGATGAATTCCAGACCCTCGTTCCATTCTGGGTTAAGATTTCTACACACAGTCGAAGTCCGCTTCTTCTGACCATCAAAATCCACAACAACATACGGACTGGAACTCCCTTGCCCATCCTTTGGTAGTAGATTCCGTGCGTCAAGAATTTCCACCACAAGTTTCCGAACTAGCTGTGGTGGTCTTGACGGCGGTTCTTGCTGTTGCGGTTGCTGCTCCGGCGGTGGCCCAGATGACATATTCATTGTTTCATAGTGTAGAAATAGCCATTAATGGCGGTGAGCATGGGCCGCGAGAGTAAAAAGGAAACGGAAGAGATTTGTTTGTTTTTTCTGAAAAAATTTCTGCTTCTTTTGTCTGTTATTTGCCCTTTTCTTTTCAAGTTTTTTGTTTTGGGTTTTTTCAATTTTTGGTCTTTTTCTTGTTTGGTGATGGTAAAATGGTAATTTTGAAGAATGTTTGTGGAGGTGTACGACAGTGACAGCAAATGCCGTAGTTGATGCGATCTCCACGGTTGAAAAAATAGAGATAAGAATTGTATTCCAATCTCTCTCGTGAAGTTTCCTTTATTTCAATTTTTTCACTTTTCGGCTTCTCTCCTTTATTGTTCTTCATTATAATAATTAATTAATAATCCTAGTTTTTTCAGTTTTTTTAAATGAGAAAAACATCCAATAATTATATATTTTAATAATATCAAAAGGTACTAAGGATTATTAAACTAATTAAGTTTAGTTTTTTTTTAAAATTGAGATTAGCTTTATGCTTTGTGGAGAGCTAAGGTGAGGCAGACATGGAGTTTGTCTCAAGTTATCCTCCCTTGTATATTATTTATAACCGATAACTAACTATTTTGGCAAATTGTTATTATAATCAAGGGTGAAGTCACGTAAAATCGAGTTATACTGTTTATATATAATTAAAAATAATTTTTATGTGTATATAATTAATGTTAAATTTTATTTGACTTCTTCGTATGTTTACTACTAGACTTAATTTGGTATTTATACTTCAGGGATAAGCCATCATCTAAATCTAATGCAACTCATGACAGGTATATATGTGATTAAAAGGCGGGGGGAAAGTGATACTTAGTGATGGTACAATCAGATGAGCATCATTTCAAATATTTATATGCAAGTCATCTGACATTAATAGATAAAGAAAATGAATATCATATCTCTTCCAATATCTTCTTGTTTCTGTCAATATAGTGTTTGTCATGGCTCTGTTGTCAAAAAGTGTTGGGCTTAGCAACACCTAATTAGCTCGGTTTGCTTACCAATGTTTTATTATCATTCAATATTTCACTTTTTAAGATTCCTTCTAGAGTATATATTCTTTTGTAGTGGTAGCTAGAAAAAAATATCCATCTAGAGCCGACTATTTGAGTTAATTGCAATTCTAAACTCGAAAATGATGAAATTGTCCTGACATATGACTTGAACTTATGTAAACGTATCTTTTAACTTGGCCCTATTTGACATCTACTCTCCCAGCTTTAGATATGTACAGTGAACACTAACTTGTATGAAAATGAATAAGCAGATACATTTGTTCTTTCATCTTTGTAGTATAATAATAATACATATAGGACATTATGTAAGATCTGAATTGTCACGTAGGACGTTACATAGAATACATATTTTTATTTTTAAAAAATTTAAGTACACATCCAATATTAAAGAACATAAATATCAAATAAAATCAAGTTAATGATCACATTTACATATTATGTCAATACAAATCCATCAACCTTTGACAATTGAACTAATCCAAAGACATGTTTTCTCCCAATGATACTGTGGAAGGCTTGACCATGACTAAACCGGTGAGTGATGCAATCAAGAAAATGGTTGATATAGCGCACGATTCCACTGCCCAACAATTGGATGGCCCGGCCTTCCTTTTTGCCAAAATAATTTGAAACAAAGGTAAGTGAAAAAGAATCCACTTTTTCTCTCTTCTGGGCCCCTTTTTCTTCACCACCTATTGTCAACAAATGTAGCTGTCAAATAGATTGTCTCAATTCTCATTTATATTACATGCCCAAATTCTCAAATTCTTCTTACTATTAATTATTTGGGGTCGTTTGATTTGATTATAAGTTATATTGAGATTAATTATGATAGAATAAGTTTAATCTGAATATAAGTTATATTGAGATTAGTTAAGTATGACACATAATATGTAAGTTTTAGAGGTGTGGGGTGTATGACTAAATCCTAATGGATATTTAGTTTTAATATTTCATAAATTAATAAAATTAAAAAATTTATGTTAAAATTGTAGAAAATTCAAGTGATTATAAAACAGGTAGGGAAATGTATATTTTGTATATAAACTGACATGTGCGCGAACATTACCAAAAAAAAGAAAATTATTTTCTAATGAAAGAGTTAAAAATGTGTTACCCCAGTAACGTGATTATGATGGAACATACCAAGTAGACCTTTGGAGTTTGGACATAAATTTGGAATTATTGATTTGGGTTGAAGTTAATTCGACAGTTGAAGTTTTGCTTGAACATGTAATTCGAATTTCACAAGTTTTTTTCTTTTTTATGTAAACAATCTTTATATAACCTTACGAAATGAAACAAGGTAGCAACATATATATCTTAAGTCATAATATTAATAAATCACATGTGTCTTTTATAAATATTTTTTATTATTACAAACTTTCAAATATACCTAATTATACAAAGACCCACTGATTCAATAAATCAATACTAATAGTAACTAATTATTATTTATCTTTGGGAAAAAGGTTTGAAAAATACTCTAATTTTAGTCGAAATTGTTGTTATGATACCAAACTTTATGGAGAACATTTTACCCCCGAACTATTTAATAATGTATTTTAAAGGTATATATATGCCCACGTGGACACGTTACTATTTATAATTATGCAATATTTATGATGTCCACGTAAACACATATATACCTTTAAAATACACTATTAAATAGTGCAGGGGTAAAAGGTCCTTTTCAAAGTTTAATATCGTTACAACAATTTTGATCAAAGTTCGGATATATTTCAGACTTTTTTCCCTTTATCTTTAATAAAAGAATATAATCGTTACACATTGTAAGTCTCTTTAGCTCGAGCATGAATCTTTTTTATATAACTTAAAATTACGGTTTTTTTTTTACAAAATACAAACTTATAAATAGAGTTCTAAGAAAATGAAATCACAAATATGAAAATTAAAATCCTATCTCTTAGGTGAATTAAGGATTTGAAATTAATATTTCAAATTGAAGTCAAAGTTTTGATCAAATGTCATAAACAAACACAGAATTTAGATCCAAATTACATGGTTAAATGAGCCATATATAATAAATATAACAGGGACGTTGCTCTATGTTGTCCTTGGCCTACTTTATAGCTTAGAAAAGATAATTTTGAGTTCCACTAATTATATCCTCAAACTTCGAATTTCATCCCACTTTATGAGTAATGTTTCCACCATATACTAATGTATTAATAATTATACCTGTAATAGTTGTGTTTAACTAGACTAAAGTTTAGAAAATTGCCCTAATTTCACCATAATGTTGGAACTAACCAACAAAACTTCCAGAATTAGTGCTCCTAAATTGTCTCTTGAAAACTGAAAAGTAGTAAATAAGAACATGCTTATGGGGATTACACACATTATTACATTATGTTCACATTATACAAAAATGGGAATCTGTCCCCTTTATAGCTTTGTGGGTTCTTCAACCTACTGTTCTAGCACACGAGCCGATGATAGTGCTAAAACAGTTAAAGATATTCTTAACATGGTGTAATATTATTCATATTAGATAAAGTCTGCACGATTTTCTACAATAGGCGCACTTTTTATGTATCATTTTTTTAACTATCAATATGAGACGTTGTTTACTTACCCAACAATTTTTCCTTCAACAAATCGGGATAAAGTAATAAGTATAAACAGTTTGTGCCTTTTCTGTATTGATGGATAGATTTCATGAGGAATCAGGTCCCTTTAAGATAAAATTCAACTTTGAACTTATGCTTATTCTAGTGTATTTTTCTCTTGTTACAATCAGAATCAAATAAGTCCCAAGTTACCTCCAATTGACTTGGATATTTATGCTTTGTCCTATAAAGCTGTTATGCCAATATATCTGGTTACTTTTGTAAAGTGCACCACATTTTAGAAATGTAATTTTTTGAAATCATTTTGCAAAATTAAATGATAGTTTTGAACAACAAACTTATTTGTAGGTTCACTTGATGTTCATTGCACGTTGAATATGTTTTGTACATAAGTAATTGGATTATTGGAGAATGACTAGTCACGAAGCTTAATCGATTTTAGTTGACTGATATTTTTGAGAAACGTAAACCCCGAAAGAAAATGCTAGCAATGCTGTAATTACAATTGTTTTGTTGTTCTTCAGAATTTCTTTTCCTGCTGCCACTAGATAAACCTCGTGCCACTTTTTCGCCATTTTTGCATCATGAAATTCTTCGTCCCTACTCAATCCCTCTTTATCATTTTCTTTTTCATGACCTTTCGAACTTTCAATTTCCTCTTGTTGATTCTCTTCATGACCAGAGCTAGCAATTGCTGCCTCGTCGCGTTCATTGTTTTCTGGTAATTCTTTTGGGATGATCACAAACAAAATCCCGTCTTCAAGCCTTGCACTGGTATCCTCAGATTTCGATTTTTCAGGTGCTTTCATTGATTTTTGAAAGCGAATAAATTTATATTCGCCTACCTTCCTTTCTCCACTTACCTTTATATTGTCAAATGTGTCAACTTGAAGCTTCACCTCCTCCCTTTTGAATCCTTCTAACAAAATAAATGAACCTCATAATTGGTAAGTTCAATCACTGCAGATAATAATGTTAACGATTGAATAACAAATTTATGTTAAAACACATTACCCTGACTCGAAAATTTGTAAATTACAATCGAAATGATAACTGAAAAGCAGATTTTTATCGAAAGAAATAATGAAGTATGAATACCAGGAAGATCAATGAGAAGATAATGATTTTCCGCATCCTCTATCCAACCGGAGGAAGGTTCAATATCTTCATATACTGAATTGGCTGAACTTGTCAAATTAGTCCCTCCTCTGTGATCCCCGTAATGTGCCATTAATTAGACTTGTTATTGTGTAATAATGTTAATGATGTGTTCTGTTGCAATTGAAATTGTTACATATATATAATTGCCAGAAATAAGAAAATTTAGCCTGAATGGTGTTATATTGTTTATTTTATTATGAGCATATTCAGATAGCTTTTCTTGCAAGATCCTGCAAATTTTTGTTCTGTTATTTTACCCTGTAACACACAAAACCTATATTTCTTCTTGAGAAAGGCAATGTTCTTATTCTATACTTTGCTTCAATTCAATTGAGAAAGGCAATGTTTTTATTTTGTGCTTTTGCTTAATACCGGCCTCCCTATCATCACTGTCACTACCTGTATAACTGGATTTGCCACTGTTAGAAGTGGCAACTGGTTTTGCTTCATCGTGAACGAGATAGGCAAGTCTCGTGACTTGGATTAGTTGCAATATTTGAGCCAGGTTACTAGAGGGATTGAGTTTAACGGAGACTGAAACAATGAGATGGTGAAGTGAAGAGGCTGAAAGAGAGTTGGAAGCTTATGTCATTTGGCTTCTAAAACAGTCAAGAATTATAGCGAAAGAAAAGCTGATACCATGAGAAATCTGAGGATAATGTATTCGCAATGCTTTGTAGTAGCTAATGAAATTTACAGCGCATCATAGTGTGTGTGTGTATACACTTACAAGTGGTACAGAAAGTAGAGAGTAGGCAAATCGCAGTTTGATTGACATAATGTTCTTCAATCATATCATGTATAATAAATATAATTTGAAGTCATCAGAATTCAGAAGCATACATAATGTTCTGTCAAGCATCAATCTTACCAGAAAAGGCAATACAAAAGTTCATTTCATAGTAGATTTCCAAAGTCTTTAACAAGAACGTATTCAAAAATTTAAATGCATACGAAGAGTTAAAAAGAGTATAGAGATGCAATTCTCCAGCTTTGTAAGACACGGAACCAAAATGATTAAAAAGATTTATGTCATATAAGATTCAAATAACCATCAAGAGAATCCAGAATAAGAACTTTTGAGTTTGTCAACACATGGTCATACTAATCTTTGACAAATCAAAATCAAGCTGGTTCCTAGATTTCACTAACTAGGAAATAATTTACTATTTTATACTCCCTCCATTCCATATTAATTTAATTTTTAAGGTGTTTCACACCCTTTAAGAAAAGTAGATTTAAGACATAAATTGAACCTAATTTTCCATTTTTACCCTTATTAATTATTGTCAAATGTATGATTAAAATAGCTAAATATTAATTAATCACTAATTCCAATACTAACTAATGAAGGGTAAAATTGGAAGAACACTCTAAAAGTAGTCTTGAAAACTGAACAATTAAGTTAATTTGAAAAATAAAAAATGTCTTAAAAATTAAATTAGTATGAAATGGAGGGAGTACATATTTTGCCCTTTATCATTAAGTACTTCAAATTACTTCCAACATTAATGACTTAAATTACAAGTGCTATAATATAATTATACTTATATTTATTATTTTTTAAGAATTTGTCTAGTCAGACATGGATAAATAAATATAAACAGAGGAAGTACTAATTACATGGTATCACCTTTCCAAACTGCATGGATATACTTTATTTTAATTCGAAAATATATTAAAAATAGTTTCTCTATTTCCACGAGGTAAGGTTTTCAATGTTTCACCTTCAATCCTTCCCCATATCCCACTTGTGAAACTTTACAAATATAAAATTTTAAAAAAGAATTAAACAAAAAATGTTACAATAATATAGAAAAAGAAATGTTCACATTTATAACTTTTTGTAGATGCAAAACTATAAAGTTATCTCCAAAAGATTAACTCATTTTTTTTCGTGGATTAAAAAAATAAATAATAATAATTGATTCAGAAAAAATATATTAAGATGGTACATAAAACCAAAAAGAGCAGAAAAATAAATAAATGGAGACCAAATATACGATAAAAATCAGTATTAACAAGTTAGTTATATGTACTAATTAATGAAATATACAAACTTAACTTGATTTCTAATTAATAATTAGTATTAACGAGTTATCCTCCCTTGTATAATTAATAACTAATGACAGATTAACCAAAAAATTAATACTAACGACGGTACAATACAACCAAATTAGTTACCACTCTGGATTTCTGATTGAAATGCCAACTATTTTAACAAAATTGTTGTTATAATCAAGGATGGAGTCAGACAAGATCGAGTTTCACTATTTATATATGATTAGAATTATTTTCTATGTATATGTAATTGATGTTGAATTTTATTTGACTTTCTATGTATATGTAATTGATGTTGATTTTATTTGACTTTTTCATATGTTTATGGTTCGATAGAACGTTTTATACTTTCATATAATTTGTGTACTTAATTTGGTATTTTTACTTCATGGATAAGCCACCATCTAAGAGGATGTTTGGATTCGCTTAAAAATTTGTCAAATCTATTTTTAAGTCAATTTTTGACTTCTATAAGTGTTTGATAAATATAAAAATAACTTAAAATAAGTCAAAAAAATGACTTAAAATAAGTTAAGAAATGTTTGACAAGATTAAAAATAACTGAAAATAGTCTCCCTTTTATTTGTTAACTTAAAAGTCATTTAAGTTTTATTTTTTATTTTGAACTTAAAAACTAGTATTTTTTTTAAGTCAATCAAAACGGTAATTTAATGCAACTAAAAAGAAATAAGTAGAGAAAAATAAATTAAAATATGAAATTAAATGAATTTAACACATGGCAGATAACGATTGGTGAGCAATTTTTCCTCCTTATAGTTGAGGTTGAATTAGAGAGATTGTATTTACCCTCGTTTTTTAAAAAAAATAAATTAAAGAATGCTACACCGTACATGCTTGAAAAACTTGAAAGTCGGGTTTATGCAATGACCAAAAATTGGTATGATTTGTCCACAATAGATAAACCATAAGACACTCAGCTTGTAAGTTACAATTCAATAGTAGGTAAAACTTACCAGATACCATTGGCAACTTTCAAGCTACGAATACGATAATCGACCATGAAGTGACAAATGATCCGATACAAGATAAAGAAAAATGACACAACTTTAAATTCATTTATACCATGCACTATCACTATCTGATTCTATACTGGTACACACAATTGGCATTGTAAGAACTTTTCACAAACCTGTGCACAATAATCGTAAAATCATATACCCAGTTTTATTACATGGGTGCACAGACAAGTAACCATCCACTTTGTTCCTCAGAACTAGACAGGAACATCAGTTGTTTCTGAAAGTTCAGGATCATTATCACTCTTTCATTCACCTGAACCCGGAGGGAGCAGCTTGAGCACCTGGTCCACCTGGTCTCGACATAGCTCTAGATTGAAGGAGCATCTCTTCATAGTTCTGATTACAAAAAATCAATGTGAACAGCATGAAACAAGAAAGCCAGCATGGTAATTGGAAAATATCTCAAAGTAAATTTACCCGTTTGTCAAATGCATCGTCACTTGAACTAATAATCTTATCTGCAAGGCCATAGTCAATGGCCTCTAGTGCCCTGAAATATTTAGGGCGTAGGATATCTTTCTTAATTTCTTCCTTTGGTTTTCCAGTTCCTTGTGATAATAGTTCAAGGTAATACTCTGAGTTTGATTCTAGTTCTTTGGCCTGTGGAGGCAAAGTAGCAGAATACTTTAGTGACAAATGACAGACATGGATAGGCAGATGTCACCATACACATTGTAAACCTTATGTGATCCATATGTGCAAATTATACTTCAACGAGCAATTTCGTAAGTGCTTATGATGCACATATACACATGGACATAGCTAGAGAGAAAGAACAACCTTTATCCACATCTCTATCGGTGCTCCACTGGATTTGCTGACCTTAGGTAAATACAATTTGGCTGCAATCCATCAATAGTGTGAATATCGAAAGCAGTAAAAACTGAATACTAGAATAAATTTGGCAGGCATGAGAGTGTGGAGGCCTTTGAATGTACATAGATGATAGTTATCATGAGTCACCAAAAATAATTGTTCTGCTTCTAACCTAAACCCCTCCCACCAACCAAAAATAAAAAAGGAAATCAAATACAAGGAGGATGGAGGAAATGAAGGAAGTAGCATAGAATAGATGAACTACAGAAAGTTATTATAAAATGAAGAGATAAGGCACAAGTACCCCCTAAACTATGATCGAACTTCCAGAGAAACACCTTAACTAAACTAAAGGCCCTATTAACCCCCCACCCCCCACAAAACCCATTTTCCTTTGTTGTAATTTTGGACACCTTTTTGGCCTACGTGGCCTCCAAATATCTCCCACGCGCCTCAACAGAGCAGAGACACGGAGTGTGCCATGTAAGCCAAAAGGTGTACAAAATTACAAAAAAAAATGAGTTCATGGGGTAATAGGACCTTAGTTTAGTTAAGGCGTGTCTCTGGAATTTCGGTCATAGTCTAGGGGGTACTTCTGTCTTATCCCTAAAGTGAGTGAAGTATAGCAACTTCTGTCTACGCTCAAAAACCCTTGATAAACAGCACTTGTGTGAAAGTACAGTTGAGAAGAATTTTTTAGAAACCATCCTCACACCATGGACGTGTCAAGTTAAATAGTGATTCAGTTCGTCGTGCTGTTATAGATACACACCCTTAAGCAAATATATGTGGCTCCCGTCTAGCGTTGGTACCAATTATGAATTAGAAACAGAGAAGATCATATGATCATACAGTTGCCAATTTGAGAATCAAGATATTGAGGGTGAAAAGTTGAGCCTTACTAGATGAATGTGGCTGCATAGCACGGAACCCTTTCTTTCCTTGTGACAGAAGCATTGCTGCTTGACCAAAAGCCATGCCACAGTTTACTGTATATACATCTGATTTGCAGTACTAGTGACAATTAAAAACACACAAGTAATAAGTCAGATGAATAAAGATCTCAGTCTTGGGAAACATATAGATAGATAAGATCCATCAAATTGTTCACCCATTGATGTTTTACTGTTATGGAGACTAAGGGTGGCTTTGTTCAATTTC